ATCAGATTGCATCCCGTTACTTTCTTCAGCCTTGTAGGATGCTCCAATCTCCTCCCTTTACTTCTGTCTTTTGCCTGGCCAAGAACACACATTTGCAGAAAATGGCTGGGTCAGTTTACCATTTTTAGTTTCTACGAATGTCTCCGGATCTTAGGCAGGGCCCAGAGGCATTTTTGAAATTTAAACTATGCTTGATGCTGGGAATTTTGCTTTGCATCATAGCCACTTCTCATTCATTCATTCATTCATTCATTCATTCATTCATTCATTCATTCATTCATTTCTTTCTTCCTTTTAAAAATTTAATCTATTTTAAAAATAAAATTAGGTAGGGCAGGTAGCCCGGTGATTACCATGAGATATATTGCCAGGTACAACATTAGATACCCAAGATTTAATAGGATGTATAAACCCATCCAATACATCTAAAAGTGAGGTATGTAAATCAGGCCATTGAAGAAGCTATGGTTTAAAGTCCTGGTTTAGCACTGAAACCACAGTTATGACTAGTTTTTGAGGGTCAGTGACAGAGAGATGAAGGCAGGAAATGTCTGAATGGTGGACTATTCCTTAAAATGTTGGACTTAGCTAGGAGATGGGGGAATGATGGAAAGCAGGAATTATTTCAAGACTGCAACCTTGGGGTTAATTTGTGTCATATATTTTCTGGCTGATCTTTATTAGAATCAGCTACCTGGTCACTTTCTGCTTTTGTTTTATCTTTGTCTTTCTTTGAGATGCATTTTGCTGATGTCTTAGTACATTAATTTGGAGCCAGTGGGTTTTTGCAGACCTGCTGTTCCTCAGGTTCTATAACCTATATGTAAAGATTTGCAGGAGGTTGTTAAGGCAGAGAATTCTAGATGCCATTTCATGCACCACTGAGGCTCATTTTCTATCTGTTCCTAACACAGAGCAGGACAAATTGGTTTTTGCCAGCATATTTGATCTCAAATGATAAAGAGACTTTTTTATTGATGGTGTTTAAACAGGGCAGGCTGCTGCAGAGGAAATAAATAGTACCAGGAAGAATAATATAAAGGAACAGAATGGAGGAGACACACATGCAGCAATTTGTAATCGGGGGGTGGGGGAGGGAATTGAATGAGCTGCCACTACTGAAGTAGGAAAACTCAAGGGGACATTTTGAATAATTCAAACTCTCTGAAAAATGTCTCTCTCTCTTCCTGCCTGCCAGACGGGTTTCAGAGGGAGAAGCAAGGTGGAAAAATCCATTGCATAGACTCCTTTGCAAATTGAACCAATTCACACTTCCCAAGCCAGAGCAGAATTATTTTATGATACAGTCCACCACTCAAAGATGCCAATAAATTCATATTATGTGTATATTTTATATAGACATGGATGTAGATGTTATATTTATTGCCTCTAGACTTCTGGGGCCAATTAAAAATGCTATCCATGACCTTTTCAGCTCTAAATGGCAGAGCACCAGGATACGTTGGGCAAGGCTTTGTCAGAATTGAATCT